CTGAGGGCGGGCAGGGGAATGGCTGCCTGGGGGCTCCCGTAAGGAAGCGGGGACTCAACCTGCAGAGACTAGAGGCTGGTGGCCCAGATACCCACGGCTGGGAATCTGGGGGCCCGAAGGCCTAAGGTCGGTCTTCGGTCTGTATAAATGGAACTGTGTCTAGGACGAGCTCCCTTAGGGAAACGGAGGGTCTGCGGCCCGGTGCGCCTCTATCGGAACGGAATGATACTACGCTTCTATCCCCCATCTCTTAAGTGAAATTCAACCCTTCCGCCCCAATAGAACCCAGAGGAAGTTGAAGGAGTCGGGTTTTTACTGCGGATTCTTTGGAGCTAGCTTCCAGCTGACAAATCAACATTTCAATCTGACAATTAGTGGTCGAGATGCGGGGAGAGGGGCTCTGGCTGCCAGGACCGTTTAACCCTCCCTGCGAGCGGCAGAGAGGTGGGCGGTGCTGGCAGTGATGAACGACTCCAAGGGGGCCCGGGGCCCCGAGCGCGCATTCATTACTCTTCTGACAGGCGGGCGGCGGGCCTGGCGGGCCGCGAGTGGACGTGCGGGGAAGAGGCCTGTGGCAGGAGGGAGCGTAAGGGAGGCGTTTAACACCCCCCCCTCCTGGTCAGCTCCCGGTTCTTCGCCTCGACCTTGGTACTTGACTTACTTATGCGTGGCCTCTCAGCTGTTGGGGCCGGCCCTGGCTGCAGAATTTGGAGAGCAGGGACAGGGACCTCAGCCCTCTTCAGGTTAGGCGATTTCAGATCTGAGATGCCAAGAAAGGGTGTGGACAGGCCTTAGGGCTAGAAGCTTTTGTCTGACCTGGGAGGAACTGTGCGGTTTTGCGTGTCTATGCACACAGAGGTGGTGTGTGACAGGCATTGATGGCTGTGGATCACGCGTGGGGGGCAGTGATTGTGTGTGTTAGTGTTAGGGAAGTGTCGGCCTGATTTTGTCAGCGAGCTTCGAATGTCTGAGGATGAGCTGCAGCCGCTCCTTGCTGTCTGTGCCCCTCCCCACCACCACTTGCTGTCAGCTCTCTGTCTTCAGTTCTGTAGGAAATGGCAGTGTGCATGGTGACAGCTGAGGGGTGCTTCTGGGGTTGGGAAGATAGATGTTACCTGTGAGAATGCTGGTCTGGACAACTGCTCCCTTCCCCCCCTCCACCCCAAACATCATCCTTTGCTCAAGCTTCCTGAAAGTAGTGGACATTTATCCCCCAAAGTCTGGAGACCCAGCTGCTGAGGAAGTGGTTACTACCAGGTTTCTATAGTCCACACACCGTCTCCATCACACATACAGTCTCTAATATAAGATATGATCGCAACCCTCTGGCTTCCCCAGGCCTGTGGTGAGCAGAGAGGAGGAGCTGGATCTCAGGAAGGGAAGAGGCAGACCATCGGACCTCCAAGACAGCCTACCTCTTCGGGGCCTGGGCTATTGGTCCCTGGAATTCTGACCTTGGATCTCTGGTCCAGTTGACACCTTGGGAGGATAATGCTAATCATATTCTAATTTCTATCCCTAATTACTCTATTCACCGGACTTTGTCTCCACTCTCCTACCCACTCTCAAACTCACCAAAAGGTTGATCTTTCTCCCCAGCTCTGAATCTCCCTGGTCTCCAGGGCAGAGATTTTGGGTGATTCTCAATCTCCGTTTGTTCAGTGTATCTTCCAGCCACCTTCCCTTTGCCTTGCTCTTCCTTATGTCAAGGGTATCTCTTGGACCTTCTGTATCTTTGTTCCTGCAGCCCTTCTCCTTGTGTCGGCATGTCTTGACATTTTTAAAAAATGTTTTTATTAATTTTTAGAGAGATTGATTTTTAGAGAGAGAGAAAGGGAGAGGGATAGAGAGATAGAAACACCAGTGAGATGAGAAACATCATTGTTCGGCTGCCTCCTACAAGCCCCCTACTGGGGAATGAGCCTGCAACCTGTCATGTGCCCTGACCTCTTGGCTCCTGGGTCGAGGCTCAACTGCTGAGCCAGACTGGCTGGGCTGCCTGTCTTCACATTTAGGGATCTTTTCCAGATTTCTCTCCCTACAATTTGGGGTATCTGTGTTCCCCTGGGGCTTCTCCCTCTGGGAATATCCTAGGACAACAGTGAGGCCTCATTGGAATGGAGAGAGGGAGTAGGACTTCCTTCCTACTCCCATCCAGTGGCTATTGCAACCCAAAATGGGCAGGCAGTGTCAGGGCCAAGGCCAGGTCGCTTCTCATTCAGGGCACAGGCGCCTGGTCGATGCCCCGCGGTCCGCCCCCCTCCCAACTGCCCTTCTCCAGGCCCTCGCCCCCTCCGCCCTCCTGGAAAAGGCAAATTTGACATTTTTAAATCCCGAGCCTTAGAGGGATCGATGCGGCCCGGGGGCCCCACCCGGGGTCGATATTCCTGATTGGGAAGCGGCCTCAGCGCGGAGCGGGTGTAAATCATGCGAACTGGGAGAGGGAGCTCCGGGATGCAACCGCGTCCCAGGCACGTGGAGGCAGACAGGGTCCCGGCCTTGAGGAGGGGGGGGACCCCAGGCAATGGAAGGACAGTCTTAAATACCCGGACACCAGCCCGCCCAGAGCCCCCCTCCTCCCCTGCCCAGCTCTGCCGACTCTGCGGGCCGGCTCCGGTTTCGCTTCAGCGGCCGCTACCCTCCGTTGCCCCTGGAGCCGCCAGGGAGGCCGGTGCCGGAGCCAGCCATGCGGCGGCTCCTCCGTGGACGCTCCCGCGGGGCCTGGGCTTCGGCGGCTGTCACGAAGCCGACAGGCCGGCCGGGCCGGGAAGGGGTGGGTGTCGGGGAGAGTCGTTGGAGGTGGTGGGGGCGGAGGGGGGGGAGGCTGGCGCGCTCTGGCTCACCGTGGGCGCGCAACAGATATTTGTGGAACTGAGGGACAGCAAAGTGACGTGGGGCGCGGAGCCCAGCGGGCAGGGAGTGGGAGTCCAGCCATTCGGAGGGGCTGAGCTGGGACAGGTGGCTCCCTCCCTGCGACGGGGGGGGGGGGGGGGATAGTGAACAACAAAAAAGAATGGAGTGAGTAGGGAGGTTTAGGCCCCAACCTACAGCCGCCTCCACCGCCCCTGCCCCTCAATCCGAGAAGAAGTTCCCAGTCGGGGAAACTGAGGCAGCGCGGCTGAGAAAGACCAGGAAGGTTAAACGCGGGGTCAGCGACGGGCAGCAGCCAGAGTCCAGCGTGGGCCCCTGAAGGCACCTGCCTGCGCCGGGCCGTCTGGGTGAAGACGCCTCCACACCCCCAGGGCAGCTCAGACCCTCGCTTCCACCGCAGCTGTTCGGGTCCCCCCACTCCCCACCCCGCGCCAGTTTATAGAACAACAATTTGGGGAAAACAATCCGGGCCGAGTGACGGCCCCGTAATTGTGACAAAGTGAGTGCGGGCGACTGGAGAGAGCGCTAGGGCGGGAGCGCGGCGGGCCGAGGGGAGGCTGCAGCGCCGCCCGCCCGCCCCGCCGCCCTCTCGTTCGCATTCCGGTCACCTCCCATCCCTCTCCTTGACTCCGATCCAATTCTTCTTCTCCCGGCCCCTGTCGCCTCCCTCCGCTTGTTCCTCCATCGCTCTTCCCTTTCCTCTCGGTAACAGCTCTTCTCCCGCCCCCGCCCCGCTGCAGGCCCTGCCCGGTGCGCCTTTTCCTCTCTCACTTCTCCCATCTCTTCCGCCCTCCACTCGTTTCTCCATCTTTTCTTTGCGCTCGGGTCGCCCTGGGGCCCCTGGCTCACACCACACAATCTGCTTCGTTCCCTCCCCAGTCCCAGCTTCCCGAGCTCGAGCCCTGAGCCTCCTCTCATAGAGGCCAGCACAGCCGCGCACTCCGGGGTTCCTTCGCAGCCCGGTGGGCCCCGGCAGCCTGCCTCTGCGCCCCTCTCACCGCCCCCCCCCCCCCCCGCGCCCCGCCGCCTTCTCCGCCCCTTTCTCTGCGCCCGAAGCTAGTTTGTTTGTGCAGCCGCGGAGATGTTTGCCCAGCTTAGCGCGCCGCCGCGCAGCGCGGGCCCAATTAAGTCTCATTCATTATTCAGCGCCCGGGTCAGCCCCCACCCCCAGCTGGCGGCTCCCGAGTGGCTTTGGGGCCCCGCCCAGCCCATCCCCAAGTCAAGGCTGGGAGACCTTGGAGAGCCGAGCTTCTCCTGTGCAGAGGAGGAAACAGTCCCAGAAGCCAAGGTCACATAGCAGAACCAGGATGGGGCCCAGGCTGCTAAAACCAAGGCATCCTTCATCCCAGCTCAACCACAGCATCCAGGCGGGAGGAAGGCCGTGCTCGCCTGCTGGGACGCCCCTCACCCCTTATCCCTTTTTGCTCCTGGCTCTCCCTTTCGCCGTAGCTGCCGGCATACAGGCGGCTTGGGCTCCTGCTTGATCGAGAGGCTCCTCAGGCCTCAGGCTCAGGCCTAGATGTAGTGACCCCTGACTGATACGCCTGGAACGGGGCAGTGAGGCAAACTCGTGTGTGTGTGTGTGTGTGTGTGTGTGTGTGTGTGTGTGTGTGTGTGCGCGCGCGCTGGGGGGTCCCTCTCTGCAGCCTGTCTGTGGGTGTCTCTGCCGTAGAGGCACTGGAAGTGGAGCCATCCAAGGCAGTCTTGAAGGACAAGTAGAGAGAGAGGAGAGTGCAGCCTGAAGTGAGGGGGAAGTCACTTTCCCATTTGTGGGGTGGAAAGGGGCGACCAAGGACCTATTTTTGAATTTTTAGGGACTGCTCTGGGCTGTTTCTCCCGGGCACCTGCACAAGGTGTCAGGGGACCCGCGGGGCCCTTTCGTACGCGGCAGCGCCATCTGGCGGCCGCGGCCGCGGTGCTTCGGTGCCGCGGTGCTGGAGCGCCTGGCCTGGACCCGGCACTCGCCCGCTGCTTGGAGCCGGGGGAGGCTGGATTCGACCAGAAAACCTTAAATCGACTTTACCCGAGAGGGCGGGCGAGAGGAGCGCGAGGTGATCCAGAGGCAGCCGGGCAGGGCCTCGGGGAGGAGCCTGGCCCCAATGACCCGACTTCCGTGACACAGCAAACACAGAAAGACAAAGTCCATTTGGATGGAAGTGGGAGCGGAGTGAAGGGCCATTTTGACTCTATGGTCCAAGGAAATGACTGGTCTGATGCGCGTGGCAGCCGGGGTGCCCAGGTACGGCCGTTCATGCGGGATTAGCAGGGACTGGCTGGTGGTCTGAGTCCCACTCTAAGTAGAGGGGAAGGGAGAGACTAGCAGGCACACTTGGGCATCTTGTTGTATATTCTGGGGATTCATGGCTGCTTTGGAGAGACTTTTCAAGTCGGCCCTGGCAGGAGGTGATTGAATTGTGGGGCACCAGCGTTCAGGTCAAAATGTAATTTCCCAGAGCTGTTTAAGGGGAGGGAATTGAGGACTTTTTTCATGTTTGACTTGTGGGAAGATTTCTTGGCCTGGAGAGAGTTGGAAGGCTGGAGAAGGGCTAAAACCTTGGGTCAGTGTCTGAGGGCAGCCATAGTCCGAGTTGGATTGGGGGACAGGAACTTTCAAAATGTGCAGGAACTTTAGAAGGGCCTTCTATTCACACTTATTCCCTCCACTCCCCATTGAGTCATTCCCAGGTGAGTGGTCCCAGGGGAGGTCTAAAATGTAAGCTTATGCCTTAACCGGTTTGGCTCAGTGGATAGAGCATCGGCCTGCGGACTGAAAGGTCCCAGGTTCGATTCCGGCTAAGGGCATGTACCCTGGTTGCCCGCACATCCCCAGTAGGAGGTGTGCAGGAGGCAGCTGATTGATGTTTCTCTCTCATCGATGTTTCTAACTCTCTATCTCTCTCCCTTCCTCTCTGTAAAAAAAATCAATAAAATATATTTAAAATAAAATAAAATGTAAGCTTATGATTTTTTGTACCTGTTCTGAGTTCTCAGTTACTCAGCTGAAAGCATTTATTTTGTTTTTGGTGTTGTTGTTTTTTTAAAATATATGTTTATTGATTTCAGAGAGAAAGGGAGAGGGAGAGAGAAATAGAACATCAATGATGATAGAGAATCACTGATTGGCTGACTCTTGCACACCCCCTACTGAGGGTCAAGCGGGCAACCCAGGCATTTGCCCTTGACCTGAATCGAACCTGGGACCCTTCAGTCCGCAGTCTGACGCTCTATCCACTGAGCCAAACCATCTAGGGCTACTGAAAGCATTGAAAACATTTTTCTCTCCTAAATTTGGAGTCGCTGTGGTTGTTAAAAAACAGACATGAGGTGCTAGACCCAAGGGCATGGAAGAATCAACATTTCAGGGACACTCAGGAAACTCTGGACTCTATTATTGGAAGAACAAATGGTTACTGTGTTGGGACATGGATGTGGTCTTAAAGCTGCTTTTTTTTTTTTTTTCTATCTTCTAGGGTCTAAGGATAACTCTGTGGCTATGGTGGCCATGATTCTCACAGCGGACTACAGATTTCTGCACTCTGAGCAAAGTCAGGTGCCACTGGAGTTGTTCTGAGACACTTTCCCTAAAGGATGGCCAAGGGGCTCCTGACGACCTATGTCCTCTGGGCTGTAGGGGGCCCTGCTGGGCTCCACCACTTGTACCTGGGCAGGGACAGCCATGCGCTGCTCTGGATGCTTACCCTGGGGGGGGGTGGGCTGGGCTGGCTCTGGGAGTTCTGGAAGCTCCCAAGCTTTGTAGCTCAGGCCAACAGAGCCCAAGGACAGAGGCAGAGTTCAGGAGGCGGGACACCCCCTGTGAGTCCCATTCGTTTTGCCGCCCAGATGATAGTGGGCATCTATTTTGGCCTTGTGGCTCTCATTAGCCTTTCCTTCATGGCCAGCTTCTATATTGTGGGCCTCCCACTGGCAGTTGGCTTAGGAGTCTTGCTGGTGGCTGCTGTTGGCAACCAGACCTCAGACTTTAAGAACACTCTAGGGGCAGCATTTCTCACTTCCCCTATCTTCTATGGCCGCCCCATAGCTATTCTGCCCATCAGCTTGGTGGCCAGCATCACAGCCCAGAAGCATCGCCGCTACAAAGCTTCCAATGTGTCAGAGACACTCAGTGTGCGGCTCTACCGCCTGGGCTTAGCTTACCTGGCGTTCACCGGCCCGCTGGCATACAGCGCCCTCTGCAACACAGCCGCCACCCTCAGCTATGTGGCAGAGACCCTGGACTCCTTCTTGAGTTGGTTCAGCTTCTTCCCCCTCCTTGGCCGCCTCATGGAGTCTGTCCTCCTTCTGCCTTACCGTGCCTGGAGGCTGCTGGTGGGGGATCGTGGCTTCAGCAGCAGCTACTTCCAGGAGTGGGAGAAGCTCTATGAGTTTGTTCGCAGTTTTCAGGATGAGAAGCGTCAGTTGGCTTACCAGGTAAGGCTTTCTTCCCGTCTGGGAGTTAGGCTAAGCCTGATTGGAGCTGGTGCCCCTTGTTTTCATGTCTGCTGCGTCAGGCCGGGAGGGTGTCCTGGTTTCTTGGGGTGTGAAGTGCCGAGGCTCTAATAGTGAGTGGGGGGAAACATGTGTATTTTATTTACTGTTCATTGAGGTATAACATATATAAAGTTTACTAACTTTATGTATATACCTATGTAACCACCACTCAGATCAAGGAATGGAATATTCCAACCCTAAGAATGTTCCCTCCCAAGCTATACTCCTTTCCTTGGAAGTAACCTCTATTCTGACTTCTGTTACCATAGTTTATTTTTGCCCATTCTTGAACTTCGTATAAGTGGATCATTCAGTATGTACTCTTTTGTGTCTGCTTTCATTCAACATTATGTCTGTGAGATTTATTCATACAGTTGCACACAATTGTAAAATGCTTGTTTTCTTGTTAAATAGTATCCCATTATATGAACATACCAGAATTTATGTACCCACTCTATTGTTGATGAACATTTGGGTTCCAGGAGGGGACTGTTCTGAATAAAGCTGCTATGAACATTCTTGCACATGTCTTTGGTGGACACACATGATTATTTCTTTTGCGAGGAAGAGATCCTGTCAGGGGTGTGAAGTTCTAGGTTGGAAAATGGGCAGCTGTGATTAAAGGCAAATTTTGATTCTTTTTTTTTTAAATATATTTTATTGATTTCTTACAGAGAGGAAGGGAGAGAGATAGAGAGTTAGAAACATCGATGAGAGAGAAACATCGATCAGCTGCCTCCTGCACATTCCCTGGGGATGTGCCCGCAACCCAGGTACATGCCCTTGACCGGAATCGAACCTGGGACCTTTCAGTCTGCAGGCCGACGCTCTATCCACTGAGCCAAACCGGTTTCGGCCAAATTTTGGTTCTTGCCATGAGATCCAGAGCTGGAATTCTAATGTGAGGCTCTAGGCCTTTTTCATGTCAAGTAGGAGCCGATCCCAGAGATATCACAGCCTGATTTAAGAAGGAAGCAGAGAAAGGCCCAGGTATTCTGACAACTTATGGGATTCTAATTTGTCAGCTTCTGTTTCCCTAAGGTTTTGGGTCTCTTAGAAGGGGCAACAAATGAAGAAATACATCAGAGATATCGGGAGCTAGTGAAGATCTGGCACCCTGACCACAACCCGCACCAGACAGAAGAGGCTCAGAGGCACTTCCTGGAGATCCAGGCTGCGTATGAAGCCCTGAGTCCACCCAGGAAACTCAGGGGATTCTAGAGGTGAGAAGAACATTTCCCTTTGAGGATGGACTCTTCCTGGTGGAGCTGGGCCGTTTGTCCCAGCTTGTCTTTGTCTACAAGGGGCACCCAACAGCATTAAAGAAACTGCTTGTAGTGGAGACTGAGAAAACCTTAAATAGGTGAGAAAGCTATTGTGGTGGAAGAATGTATTTATGTATTGAATTTCTGAGTTCTTGGCTGTTGTATTCCTATTTTTCTTAAAACCATATAGTGAAATGAAAAACATTATGAAATCAATAAAATATCTTTTAGAGAATATGCCACCTTATCCCACTCTTGGTAACATTGATGAGTGAGGGAGGAAGGTTATTTAACTTCTTTTTTTATGTGCAAAGCACTGGATTAGGAGATTGAAGGAAAAATATGAAGGTTTAATATTTCACAAGTTACCCTGTGACAAAAGAGATTTGATCAATTCTGTGGATTACTAAGGGGTAAAACTGATGTTAAATTTTAAGATTTCAGGAAAACATTTTAATTCCATTTATAGAACTTTCTAGGAGGTCACTTCCCCCAAGAAGGAACAAGCTGCTGTGGAGTAGGGGGTAGGCCCCCCCTTACAGACTCCTCTGCTTGGAGGAGTATTGTGGAGAGCCCTCAAACTTCACATGGTGGTTGGGCTGGCTGACCTCCGGTCTTCCCTGAACTTGGGGTGTGATTCTGAGCTACAACACCTTGCTCCCGGGGAGTTTACAATCTGGTTGAGGACAGCACAGATACACAGATATCAAAGTTCATCTCATTCAGTGTTTTGAACTAAGTGTCACAAGAGGTGTAAATAGAGTTCATTGGGATAGTGGAGAAGGGGTAGATGGCATTGTTGTACGAGCACTTATGGAAGAATTCATGATTTTATATCTCATATGACTTTATGGGGACTTTGGGGAAACTCTAGGGAACCAGCATCTCGAGCATCTGAAAGGAGCCTTACTGAATTCCTGAGTTACTAGCCAAGTGTGGAAGAAACAGTCCAGGATGCAGAGGAAGACTGGGACCAGGTGCAGGATATGAAAAATTATATACTTTTACTCCAGCGTTCTTGTTCTTTCTTATGTGTGGTTATCTTTTATACTTTTTTCCCTTTTTTTCTGGAAGTTAACTCTGAGCAGTATATATATTTAAAAAGTAGAATTATTTTGGCTACTATTCTCTATAAAGAATAATAATCCTATCTAATAAAAGAGAAACATGGTAATTAGCGTATGACCGCTACCCTTCCCATTGGCTAATCAGGGCAATATGCAAATTAACTGCCAGCCAAGATGGCGGCCGGCAGCCAGGCAGCTTAAAGCGAACATGAGGCTTGCTTGCTTCAGTGACGGAGGACTCCAATGTTCCCCGCCTGCCGCTGCCGGCCTCTGAGCTGCAACTCTAAGCAACTATGTTACAAATATAGAAGCTAAACAAAACCCCAGAAACCTGCTTTAGTCCGCAGGGCTTCAGCCAGCAGGATCGCAACATTGTTTCAAATACAGAAGGTAAACAAAGGCCAGAAACCTGCTTTCAGCAGTGGAGGCCTAAGAGCTGGAGCCAAGCCTCAAAGCTAAAGCTGGCCCAGAATAAAAAAAAAAGAAAAAAAGGAGCAGTTGGGAGCTTCAGTCACCCGCCAGCCTGAAAACAGCCCTCATCCCTTCACCCAGACTGGCCAGGCACCCCAGTGGGGACCCCCACCCTGAAGGGTGTGTGACCAGCTGCAAACAGCCATCATCCCCTCACCCAGACTGGCCAGGCACCCCAGTGGGGACCCCCACCCTGATCCAGGACACCCTTCAGGGCAAACCAGCCGGCCCCACCTGTGCACCAGGCCTCTATCCTATATAGTAAAAGAGTAATATGCCTCCGAGCACCGGGATCAGTGTGACAGGGGGCAGCGCCCAAACCCCCGATCGCCCTGCGGCTCTGTGTGTGACAGGGGGCAGGGCCACAACCCCCTGATCGGCCTTGCTCTGTGTGTGACGGGGTAGAGCCATAACCTCCCCATTGGCCCTGCCCTGAGTGTGACAGTGGAAGCAACCCAACCCCCTGATCGGTCCTGCTCTGTGCGTGACAGGGGGGAGCTCCCCAACCCCCTGATTGGCCCTGCTCTGTGCGTGACAGGGGGTGGCGCCGCAACCTCCCCATCGACCCTGCTTTGAGTTTGACAGGGGGCGGTGCCCCAACCCCCCAATCGGCCCTACCCTGAGAATGACTGAGGGTGGCATCACAACCTCCCCATCCGCCCTGCTCTGTGCATGACAGGGGGCGGCGCCCCAACTCCCCAATTGGCCCTGCTCTGAGCCCTACCAGGGGCTGCACCTAGGGATTGGGCCTGCTCTCTGCCACCCGGGAGCAGGCCTAAGCCAGCAGGCCGTTATCTCCCAAGGGGTCCCAGACAGGGAGAGGGCACAGGCCGGGCCGAGGGACACCCCTCCCCCCCGAGTGCACAAATTTTTGTGCACTGGGCCTCTAGTAATAATAATAATAATAATAATAATAATACCCAGCCCTAGCTGGTTTCGCTCAGTGGATAGACCGTCGGCCTGTGGACCAAAGAGTCCTGGGTTTGATTCTGGTCAAGGGCATGTACCTTGGTTGCAGACTCCTCCCCAGCCTGGACCCTGGTCAGGACTCCTGCAGGAGGCAACCAATGGATGTGTTTCTCTCACATCAATGTTTCTCTCTGTCTTTCCCTCTGTCTTTCCCTCTCCCTAACAGTCAATGGAAAAATATCCTTGGGTGAGGAATAACAACAATAAAAAAAACCCCAAACAAACAAATAAATAAAACTAAGACTAGCAAGCAAGAAGTCTTCCTTAGTCTCTACCTGAATTGATTTAGTGAAATCCAGTAAATTTGTATTCTCCCATTGCCACAAATAAAAAATTTATAGACCCTTTAAAAAGAGTTGGAAGAGAACTGAGAAGGCCTCTACCTCAAGAACCTATTCAATGCAGAATCTTGAGAATAGCTTCCTTCAGAGATGACCATTTTGGCTTTTCTTGAATAGGAAATTTCCTTCCTTTCCCACCTTTTGAATATCTGTAATAGTTAAGTTGTTCTTTTATTGAACTGAAATTAGTTTCCCTTTAATTTCTTTCTCTTTTCTTTTTAAAATATATTTTTGTTTATTTTAGAGAGGAAGGCAGAGAAACATCAGTGATGAGAGGGAACCATTGATCGGCTGCCTCCTGCACGCCCCCTACTGGGGATCTAGCACACAACCTGGGCATGTGCCCTTGACTAGAATGGAACCTGGGACCCTTTAGTCCGCAGGCCAATGCTCTATTCACGGAACAAAGCCAGGTAAGGTTGTAATTTCTTTCTAGATTAGTCATCTTTTGCTGCAAAGAACAAAAAACAGCCCAACCAGCCCTAACCGGTTTGGCTCAGTGGGTAGAGCGTCGGCCTGCAGACTGAAGGGTCCCAGGTTCCATTCTGGTCAAGGGCATGTACCTTAGTTGAGGGCACATCTCCAGTAGGGGGCGTGCAGGAGGCAGCTGATAGATGTTTCTCTCTGATCGATGTTTCTAACTCTCTATCCCTCTCCCTTCCTCTCTGTAAAAAAATCAATAAAATATATTTAAAAAAAACAAAAAAACCCAGCCCAACCAGTGTGACTCAGTGATTGAGTGTCAAATTATGAACCAGGAGGTCATGAATCATATTGGGAATATAATTTTATACTGTTTTATCCCCCTCATGGAATCAGGATCACATACACATACACATACACATATATATTAATTATTGTGAAAACTTCATATATATTTTTTATTGAGATGTAATTCACATGCCATAAAATAAAATTCAGCCTTTTAAAGTATACAATTTAGCGGGTGTTAGTATATTCATAAGGCTTTGCAAACACCAACACTATGTAATTCCAGAATGTTTTTACCATCCCAAAAAGAAACTCTATATGCATTAGCAATTACTCTTCATTCTTCCCCACCAGTTCCCAGCAACTACTAATCTACTTTCTGTCTCTATAGATTTGCCTGTATTGGATATTTTATACAAATGGAATCATACAATATCTCCTTTTGTGTCTGGCTTCTTTCTCTTATGGTTTCAAGATTCATCTTTTTTTTCAAATGACATAGTATTTTAATGTATAATATTCCCTTTATTGGGAGACATTTATGCTATTAATATATATTTTTGTTATAAAGAATGCTGCATCGATATCTTTATGTTTCTAATTCATCTATTCTCTTGAATTATTTCAGAATAAATCCCCTTGGGTGGGATTACTGGGTCAAAAGGTATGAACATTTTTATGGCTCTTGTCAATATTGCTTTTAAATTGTGGTGCCCAGAACTAAATGCAATTCTCAGATGTGTACAGACAGGACAGGGTACTGTGGGGTTATTAAGTTCTCAAGGTCTGGACAATATATCATTCTTTAAATCAAGCAGTCTAAGAATTTATTAGCTTTTTCTCATTGCTCATTGAGCTTATAGCCAATAAGTCTCTTAGATATTTTCTTAGGCACTATGTTTCAAACCTATGTTTGCATCTACTCTATAACCCAGTGCTTCTGAGGATTCTCTGACATGAATTTTGTATTTCTTTGTTTTCTTTTTTCTTTAGTGGTTGATCTTAACAAGCTAGCAGGAGGTGTGGGTGTATTGCAGTCTTAGCTGAGAACTGCAGATGGCGCCTTAAGGCTGTCACAAGGGTAAAATATGTGCCTTCACTTCTTTTAGGATCTGATAGTGGCACCTCAATAGCAGGTTTATTACCAGAGTTCATTACCATTTGTGGGGAAGGATAGAGCAACTGTGAATGTTATTCAGGGAAAGCTCCAACTGAAACATATTTTCTAGTTGTCATTTGATCTCCTAGGGGACTCTGGGGCAGTGTATTTCATATTAGAGGTTTCTTTGCTTGAACACACATTTCATGCCACTGCTTTGGCTGTTTAAGTTGACACCCTGAGAAGCTGAGATTTTTTTTTCTTTCTGTTCCTTGTCATCTCTTTCTTTTAGTCACTGCAAGGAATTGAAACTTGTTCAACTAACTGGTTTTGTTTGTTTTTGCTAAGGTGAGTTTTGAACAAAAAAAGCAGAACATTTACATGGGGTTTCAGCTCAATGAGATTCATTTCAATGGTTTTTTGCTCTTTTTTGTTTTCCTTTTTGTTTTCCTCCCAATTCTCTCCTTTCTCCTCGCCTCTCACCCACCGTTTCCAGAGTCCATCTGCTTATTTGCAAATTATTATACATTTAAGCAAGACCTTGACTTTTCTGGATTTAAACCTGACAAGTTTCAACAGAACAAAGCAGTGCCTTGTGTGGGAAAGTTGGAAGGGACTAATTTTAACTCATTCTGTGACTGACCTTAGTTTCATTTCTGGGCTGAGAAAGGTTGTAGGCAACAACAGCCTAAAAGGACATTTTTTTTTTTTTTTCCTATCATCAATAGGTCAGGCACCTTTCAGATGAATTAGTATCAATAAAGGAATGAGAAAATTTTTTTTGGGGGGGGGTAGCATTTAAATGTGTCCTATTCATGTGTCCCGGTCACCGATCTGAGGCCAATGAGGCCTATGTTACTCCCCCACCTTTTCTTCTATGACCATAACCACCAGGTTAGACTTGGCCTCTCTTGTGTCTTTCCCCTTTTCATTCCTGGGGTCCATAGCAGAGAGTGTACATTGATTGATCTTCTGTATATTTTGGGTTGGAAAGCAATGAACTGCAAGTGGTGCCATATTATTTTATATTAATTGATTGGAAACCCATTGTCTCTTAGGAGTGGACTTTTCTTTTTTTTTTTTAATATATTTTATTGATTTCTTACAGAGAGGAAGGGAGAGGGATAGAGAGTCAGAAACATCAATGAGAGAGAAACATCGATCAGCTGCCTCCTGCACACTCCCCACTGGGTATGTGCCCGCAACCAAGGTACATGCCCTTGACCGGCATTGAACCCGGGACCCGTGAGTCCGCAGGCCGACTCTCTATCCACTGAGCCAAACCGGTCAGGGCGAGTGGACTTTTCTTGAACAGCTAAGAGACTAATCCTTTCAGACTCTTCTCCCTTCAAACTCAAATTCTTTTCCATTGTGTGTTTCTTGTTCTCATGTTAATGCCTTTACTGATGTCATTCTTCTTTCCTGTAATTTTTTTTTTTTTAAATATATTTTATTGATTTTTTTACAGAGAGGAAGGGAGAGGGATAGAGAGTTAGAATCGATGAGAGAGAAACATCGATCAGCTGCC